AGAAGAAGAAGAAGAAGAAGAAGAAGAAGAAGAAGAAGAAGAAGAAGAAGTAGTCATCAAATGCCCCTTTTCTAGTCTGGGAAGCTAAGCAGGGTCAGATCTGGTCATTCTTGGATGGGAGAGCTGTCAACTGATTTGTAATTGTAGTATCAACCATCTTGGAGATTCCCTAGGAAGAGAATGTCCTACACACCCTTTTGGAAAAGAACCAAGGAGCAACTTTATGAAGACATAAATAAGGAACTCGATGCGTTGAAATGTCAGGGGATTAGAAACTTTAGTGACCTCGAAAGTTGGTCTGTTCTTGGCCGGTTGATTCTCCCCAACGCTGGCACGTTGGTGGTGTATCGGAGTTGATTATTCTTCTTGGATCAGTCTATTTGCAACTCTTTCAATAGTCCTTGCCAAGCAAAGGGAAATCCAGCTGGAAAATCTCATTTTTCTCTCTTCCAAATTGCAAAGCGATTCTTCCCATCCAGAGATGGTGGACGTTAGGAAGGGATCTGTCTTCACCCTCTCCTTTTCCATTCATAATTACTGCAGGTTCCTGATCTGGATTTTTTACATTTTCCCATTAACTTTTCAATAATAATAATAATAATAATTTATTCTTCGAGCCAGTAGGGAACTGATACAGAATCTGTGCTGAGATCGTTTCAAATCCATCCTTCTACCTTTAGCTTCTTCAGAGACACACAGACTCAATTTTGATCCTGGTTTACATATTTGCATTGCACAATTTTGAATGTTGGGTTTCAATTGTAAGACCAAATGGAGCAAAAGCGTTTTATTTTCTGTGAGATGACAGAATTTTTTACAAATAGGCATCGCAGCTCCAGAGGCGAGGAGGGAAAACGGCTTGTTTTCCTTCTTCGTGCTGATCCGATCCCAAATCTTACATTTTTTGCTCCATCCTACGCCGATACTGCATCCAGTTTTGGTTACCACACTATAAAAAAGATGTTGAGACTCTAAAAAGAGTGCAGAGAAGAGCAACCAAGATGATTAAGGGATTGGAGGCTAAAACATAGGATGAACGGTTGCAGGAACTAGGCGTGGCTAGTCTAGTGAAGAGAAGGACCAGGGGAGACAGGATAGCAGTGTTTGAGGGGCTGACACAGAGAGGAGGAAGGGGTCAAGCTGTTCTCCAAAGCACCTGAAGGCCAGACATGGAAGAATGGATGGAAGCAAGGAGATATTCAACTTGGAAATAAGGAGAAATGTTCTGACAGTGAGAACAATCAACCCATGGAACAGAAGTTGCCCTCGGAAGTTGTGGGAGCTTCACCACTGGAGGCTTTCAAGAAGAGATTGGACTTCCATCTGTCAGAAATGGTGTAGGATCTCCTTCATGGGTGGGGGAATTGGACTAGATGACCCACAAGGTCCCTTCCAACGCTGTTATTCTGTTATTATTATATTCCTGGCTCTTCCAGGGATGCACTTAAGCCGTTATGAATTCACCGGAAGCCTCATTTTGAAAAGACGATATAGGAAGAAACCACGACAAGAATTATTAAATGGTCCAGGCGAGAGCAAGGAACACAATAACATTTTTCTAACAATTATACGGTGTGGTTTTCAAACCCCTGCCTGTGTCTCCATTGTTCCCCATCTCAATAGCAAGCCAGGAATTTTGTCGTATTCAGAACTGGCTTGTCTTGGGCAAATTTCCTCCCAAAGGAAGCTGTGCAGGATTCTATCTTTATTACTTTTCCTAAAAACACCTTCAGCACATTTTCCCCTCTACTTGCCAACCTGCAGTTTTACGAGAAGTCCTGTCGGCTGGAGTTGATGAGCTCGCAAACAGCTGCTACATCGAGTTTTACAGTTGGATGTGGGTTTCCAACCCCACCCCCCTTATATATTTTGGAACATGGCTTTATGGTTTAAATTCTTTTTGGACCCAGACCAGGGGTGTCCTTTTACTCCAGCTGGCCTTGAGGATTGAGCTTGTTCCTTGTTTGCGGCTTTTCAGGGACGCCGTTGTTTGTGAGATTACGACGTCTTATTTTATCATTCGAGCAAGCTCTGCTCCCGTTGGGCACCAGAATTTCCAAGGGGGCTGTTAATATTCAGCATTCAGACTTCAGCATGGAAGAACGGGGAATTAGAAACGAATTCCTCGGAGGAGAGTTTGAAGCAGAGAGAGGAAAAGAGAAGCACTGTTCAAAGATGAGAATGGCGGCCTACCAAAAACCCCAGTTCTCCCATCGTGTTTGAATGAAAGTCCAAGAAAGAGTGGATGAACATTATAAGGAGGCCGCTCCTGATGGATGCTAAGAACAAAACCATCCTTCCCTGGATGTGTTCAAGGAACGGTTAGAACATAGAATAATAGAGGTGGAAGGGACCTTGGAGGTCTTCTAGTCCAGCCCCCTGCTCAAGCAGGAGAGTTATCCAATCAAGATCAGGTCCTTGTAGTCTCCTGGCCATCTCCAGGAGATGTAACCGTAAAGCCTACAAACTTGAAATTTGGCACATATGTTCCTCTTGGTTTCTAGGTGCTCACTAAGAAAGGATTCTTTGAAATCAGAGCATTAGTATTTGCTATATTATTATTATTAACACGCTCTGATGCTAAGGAGTTCTACTCCCCCTCCCCACCTGGAAAGAAATCTCTTCCAAATGCAAAACACAAGCAGAGGAGAAGAGTTTCATTTTCAGTTTTAGTTTCACAGCAGAACACTTGAGCTAAGCCAAGGCCAGGCTTCTCTATCTCTATCTCTATCTCTATCTCTATCTCTATCTCTATCTCTATCTCTATCAGAGAGAGAGAGAGAGAGAGAGAGAGAGAGAGAGAGAAAAGCCTGATGATGGCAGATGAGATTCTGCTGAAACATTGCTACAACTTTAAAAGCACAATTATAATGATGTGGGAAAATACCTGAACAAAGCTGAATACCATACATGTAACTACTCGCGAAAACTAATTATACTAGGAAACAGTCAATAAAAATCGTTAGGATGCAGGCAACAAGTTTACAGTCATACAGTCACAAGTGGGAGGGGAGGGGTGATAAGGAGTGATGGAACTATTAATAGTAATAGTAGTGCAGACTTTGTAAATCTTAATTATAATAACAAAGGTATTTATGTTTATTTATATTCATTATCATACTAATTCATCTTGTACTTACACATAGTAATATTCTTTCTTTTTCTGATTTCTACCTCTTGTATCTAATCACTGGTAAACATACCCCATGTCAGTGCCAAATTTTAATGAGTAGCCAAGAATTGCTCTTTGAGGCATACACCCAGGCCTTTGGAGTAGTATCTCCGTTGTTGTCAAAAGGGGGTTCCCAGCAGCTGAAGGGACAGCTTTTTGCTTGGTATCCCCAAGTTGCTTTTTCAAGAGGCAACTGGACTTTCTTGTTTTTCTTTGAAGAAGTTTCACTTCTCATCCAAGAAGCTTCTTCAGCTCTGGACGGGATGGTGGGGAATGGAAGGATTTATCCTCCTTGCAGACAGCTGGTCATTTGCACCCTTTTAGAGAGTTGTTGAGGCTACTTGGGGGTTTGTCTGTGTCCTCAGGGTCACTTGAGTGGTGCAAATGGGTGTGGAGCCTCCTTGGAACTGTTGAAAAGACTGTGTTGTAGATTGGAGGTAGATGATGTTGTATCCCTCATTGCGTGCTTCTTTACCTCCATGTTCAACTACAATCTTTCCCTGTGAACCAAGTTTTTTGTGTTTTCAGGGTGAACAAGGTGATGATGGGAAGAAGGAAGGACCCCCTGGACCCCCTGGAGAGAGAGTAAGCTACCTGTTCTGTCCAGGGCTACCGATCAATCAATGTTCTGAACAGAAGCATGAAACAGACTCCTTGTGTCCCTTCCAAAAAAACCCTTTTTTATTTGGTTAATGTGAATTCCTGGCATTCACACCCAGAAAAGTCCTGGCAATAATCCATCCTAGGTTTAAGTGCAAGGCCAGACCTTATCAGTCCCTGGATAGTTGCCAGGCCAAGAGCTTCCAGTTACAAAGCTGTAAAAGGCAAGGAATCTTTGTGAGGCATGAACTTAGATAAGCAAATCTTCACGATAATGAAGCGAACTAATTGTCTCCTGCCAACACCCCTCCCCTTTTGCTCCTATTTATTCCTTATGGGAGGGACCATTCACCGTCCACTTGTGCCTTCTCTTTCAAGTCGACCCCTGTTCCTTAGTTGTTCCCTTCTCCGGACAGCTCTGTGCATAGGCGCATCTGGAACAGGCTCCAGCTGTTCTTCTTCCCCACTTATCTCTGACTCTGAAGGCATCTTATACCTGTTAGACGGCCCTGGCCCCATCTCCGCCTCCGATGCAGACCACCCATCAGAGCCTTCCCCAGACTCCAGGACTGGCCCAAGTTCCTCCCTAACCTCCTCACTGTCCCAGTCTGCCACCAGCTTCGCTGGCAGCCAGCAAGCCACAACAACCAAGGTCTTCTCAAGGCCATCTCAAGTATTGTGGCCAACGGTGGGCCAGTACATGCAGCTGATAGAAAGCCTAACAGGTGGTGGTCAGATGGACCTCTCAACTTGGGAAGAAGAGAAGGGACGAAGCCCACTGAACCTCTCTTGAGAGATACTTCACTAACTGGAGGCCATCACACAAGAGGCCCTGCTTCTGTGGATAGTTATACCCTCACCATGACTTAAAACATGATGCAGGGATTTGGAACACATGTGGCTTTTGTCTTTTTCTCACCCTCTCTTTTTTTAGGGTCCCACCGGCAACAGGGGAGATCGTGGGGAGTCTGGAGACCCTGGTTATCCTGTGAGTCCTTCTCCAAATACCTGGTTAGGAAATTAACCATCTTGGGAACAGTACTTTCTTCTCTCTGCAGTCTTCTGTCCTTCAACTCCTAAGTCAAGGGTCTTCAAACTTGGCAAGCTTAAGACTTGTGGACTTCAACTCCCAGAATTCCTGAACTAACATGACTGGAAGAGGAATTCTGGGAGTCGAAGCCCACAAGTCTTAAAGCTGTCAAGTTTGAAGACCCCTGTCCTAAACAGACTCTACTTGTTCCAACAAGATGTCAGTTCCGTGTAGTGGCCATCGTGTATGTTCAACCAAGATTGCTGAGGAGGATGGGAATTTTAATCCAGCATGCCTATTTGGGAGGGAAGGATAATTTGGATATCGCTCAGCAGCAACGGAAGGGTGGCAGAAGGGGTAGAGGGATCAAACGAGGAAGGAACCACTGTTGCTTTGAGTCAGCCATTATATGAAGTGAAGATCTTGAACCTTTCTTAGGGAAGCACAGTTAGATCGGTGTTTGTCAACCTTGTCCACTCTACAATAGGTGGACTTCAACTCCCAGAGATCTTAGCCAGCATGCTGTCTGGGGGATTCTGGGAGTTGAAGCCTGGAATGAACTCTTGAGTTGAATTAAATTAAATTAACTCTTGAGTTAAAACTACGCCACCTATGGTTGGACTTAAGCGTAGTAAACACAATTATCTGCTACAATGTCCTACCAGTCAATGACTACTTCAGCTTCAAGCACAACGATACAAGAGCACACAACAGATACAAACTCAAGGTTAACCGCTCCAAATTTGATTGCAGAAAGTACGACTTCAGCCACAGAGTGGTCAATGCCTGTAATGCACTACCTGACTCTGTAGTTACATCCTCAAACCCACCACTCCTTTACCCTTAAACTATCCACTATTGACCTCACCCCATTCCTAAGAGGTCTGTAAGGGGCGTGCATAAGTGCACCATCGTGCCTACCATCCCTGTCCTATTGTCCCCATTTATTCGTATCTATTTCCTGTATTCTTACTCATGTTTGCACTTATACCTATTATCTTGTAAGCTATTGACAAATCAAATCAAATCAAATAAATAAATAAAATTAAATTAAACTGAATGAATGAATGAATGAATGAATGAATGAATGATGGAGGATTCTTCTTTATCTATGGTGGCTCATTATATGACATCTCGTCACATTTGCAAGTTTTCTCCTTCCAGTCATTTACACCAATGCTAATATAAATTATAAAAATAACTTTTTTTTAAAAAAAAAAGAGAGGAATGTCATCCTGTTTTTGTCCTTTAACACATTTTCTCCAGGGTAGACTTGTAAAAAGACAACAGCAATCTCTTTTCAAACTTCCACGTACTGCTGTTTGTATGCAGTCTTGTGAGTGTACCTTTTCTCAGAGGTCTTTTTCATTGGGGACACAAGGATGCTAACATCCTTTCCCCTGTTGCAACAGGAGGGGAGAGGAAAAATCTGAACGCTGAAATTTTCAACAGGGAGTAAGAAGGAGGCCCTGAAATTTTTGAGCTATGGAGAGAAAATAACAGGGCAAGAAGAATTTTTCCTTCTGGACCAAACATTGTTGAATGAATAATTCATTTGGATTCTCTCTCTCTCTCTCTCTCTCTCTCTCTCTCTCTCTCTCTCTCCCTCCCTCCCTCCCTCCCTCCCTCCCTCCCTCCCTCCCAATCTCTCTCCCTCCCTCTCTCTCTCTCTCTCTCTCTGGTTTTCCTCCAGGGACCGGAAGGAGTTGACGGAGAACGAGGAAAACCTGGGCAGCAAGGTTTGCCTGTAAGAAAGCCACTGTGGTTGTCGCATTTACTCCTGTCTTCTTAAGAGCCTCCTCCAGTAGAGGTCACAGCATCATCCAAGGAGGCACTTCAGAATCCACATTTCTTCTCACCTTATGCTGATGTTCCTTCCTGGGGACGAGCGATGCCATTCTGAAAACTGTTCTGATGTGCTGGAGGCCCATTGATGAGGTTCAGCAGGACCTAGTGACTCTCCCACCTCCAGCATGGCGGGGAAAGCAAAGTCTGTTCTTCCTCTACGTCAGCCTTGGCCACTTGGTGGACTTCAATTCTCAGAATTGCCCTGCCAGCGTGGAATTCTGGGAATTGAAGTTCACAAGTTTTTGAAGTAGCTGAGGTTGGACCTTATCTGCTCTTCTGTCCTATTGAGCTCAGAGTCTTGGTGTTCTATGAAAGATTATTTTCCAAGGAGGTATCTCCAAGGAAAATAGTTTTGGTTTCTGTCCTTGTTTTTCAGGGACATCCAGGCCCCTCAGGAACCCCAGGCGTGAAGGGATCCAAAGGCACTCCGGTATGTTTTGGAAAGCGGACATGGCTTGGTGGCTTTCTCATAACAGATCAGATTGAGTTGGAGAGATGGTTATCTTGGATGTTTGCTGTGTCACTTGACTGACGGCCGCAAAACATCTGTAGAAGAAAATAGCCCCTTCCGCATGCAGAGATGGCACTTTTCTTTTACAGATGTTAAGTTGGCACACCCAGTTGCTCCTCTTGACAGTCTATGTCTATTTTTGATTACTTATTTGTTTTTATTATGGAGGTACGTTCAATCTTCTGGGGCTGGAGTGGGTGATTCAAAAGCTAGTTGGGTTTTCTACCTTGGTCGTGAAAGATCTGAAATCAGACAAAGAAGGACACCACTTGCTTCTGGGCAAGTCCGTTTTGAAGAACCTCAGTAGATGAGGGACTATCTGGTGGATAAAGCAATTGGAGATTCCAAGGAAGGGCAGACACTAAGAGACGAAGGGGAATTCCGCTCTCATTTAGCAAGATCTTTCCCAGTTAGCTTGTTCCACGTGTCTAGGAAAAGCGGGATATTCTGCAACTATACTTTTTCTTTCTTTCAATATTTTATCGTACATTGAAGACAAGAGTACCTCCAAAACTCACCACCCACAAATGTGGAGATGGCACAGAACTAATTAACCATTGGAAAAGTTAAGAATCTGAGATCGCTGTGCCTAATGGGGAGATATGCATGTTGAAAAGAGGCTTGGTGGCACAGTGGTTAGAGTGCAGTATTGTAGGCTCCTTCTGCTGACTGCCGGCTGCCTGCAATTTGGCGGTTCGAATCCCACCGGGCTCATGGTAGACTCAGCCTTCGATCCTTCCAAGATGGGTAAAATGAGGCCCCAGATTGTTGGGGGCAAGAGGCTGACTCTGTAAACCACTTAGAGTGGGCTGTAAAGCACTGTGAAGCAGTATATAAGTCTAAGGGCTGTTGCTATTGCTATCTCCATGTTGTTCCTTCTTTTATTTTTTACTTCTAAGGGTCAACAAGGAAAACCGGGGCTGCGGGGTGCAAGAGGTAGCCGTGGATCACTGGTAAGTGTCACTGGTTTGCTTCTACTCATCCGGGGTGGCAGGCAGCCATGATACACGCGCCATCTCTTGTGCCTTTGCCGTATCTGGTTACCTCTCCCCAAAAGTTTAAGATCTTCAATCATGCATAATGCTAGAGTTGGAAGGGACCAAAGGGCTATTAAATCCAACCCACCATTCGGCACGAGAATCCAAATTAATTCAAATTATAGCTCTCCAGCTTTCGAAGGTATGTAATGAAAAAAATGTAGTTCGAATCCCTAGCGCCACGTCACGGAGTGAGCTCCCGTTCCTTGTCCTGGCTTCTGCCAACCTAGCAGTTCAACAGCACGTAAGAAAAATGCAAGTAGAAAAATAGGGACCCCTTTGGTGGGAAAGGAACAGTATTCCGTGCACCTTTGGTGTTTAGTCATGCCGGCCACGTGACCACGGAGACGTCCTCGGACAGCGGTGGCTCTTCTTTGGCTTTGTAATGGAGGTGAGCACTTCCGCCAAGAGCTGGAAACGACTAGCACATATGTGTGAGGAGAACCTTTATCTCTACCTTACCTAGTGAAAAAAGAGTCCATCGTTTCTCTAGATGATTAATGCTACTACTGAGTTGTTCTTACTGGGTCTTGATCTTCTGGTAGGAAACATCCTGTCATCCTGTACTTGAAGACGCTGTCACGTTTCTCTTCCCAGATTCATCGTTCTCATCCCTAGATTTTATTAAACTCCCCGATCATCTCTGTTGCCTTTCTCTGCCTGTCTCCCACTTTCTCTGAAATTCTTCTGAAAATGGGCACCTCCAATTAGACGCCGTTCTTGCGTGGTACAGTAGACCAGCGTAGGCTAAAGTGGAGTTCGGTGTGTTCAGAAGCTTTCTATTGTGTTGACCTTGTTTCACGCTGCCGACCCACGTCCGATCCGTAACCAAGGCTGTTCTTCTAGGGTTCTCTTGGCCTGCCAGGCCCCCGAGGGGTCATTGGGCGAGAGGGACAAGAGGGGACTTCTGGAGTTGACGGGGTTCCTGGAAAAGATGGCAACCGTGGGCAAAAAGTAAGTCGAAGATTTTGGAAGGCTGCTCCTAGAAGCATGGACGGTACCGATACAACCACCTACCTCCATTACGACTTATCACTATAACCGTTTGTTGATAAGAATCAGACCCAGTATGGTGAATAAGTATGTACGCTGTTCGTCCCAAAGGTGCTTTTTCAAGAGGCAACTGGACTTTCTGGTTTTTCTTTGAAGATGATTCACTTCTCATCCAAGAAGCTTCTTCAGCTCTGACTGGATGGTGGGGAATGGAAGGATTTATCCTCCTTGCAGACGGCTGGTCATTTGCACCCTTTTAAAGGGTCATTGAGGCCTCTTGGAGGTTTATCTCCAAGTATGTCTGTAGATACGAAATATGACATTAATGTCTACGGAGATTCTCAGTCATCCAAGTCATGGTTGACCCAAGTTACTTTTTCAAGAGGCAACTGGACTTTCTGGGTTGTTTTCTTTGAAGACATTTTGCTTCTCATCCAAGAAGCTTCTTCAGCTCTGGGGAAAAAAAAAGGAAGAACAAAGGAAGTCCAGTTGCCTTTTGAAAAAGCATCTTCGGGACAACCGTGACCTGGGCGACTGAGAATCTCCGTAGAAATTTACCTACGCTGATCTTCTTTCTCTCCCTGCTTCCCCCAAATTAGGGCGAACAAGGTGAGGATGGGGAAGAAGGCACTCTGGGAATGCCAGGGAAAAGAGGGAACCCTGGAGTCCCGGGATTACCTGGAGCACAAGGCCCCACTGGATTCAAGGTTGGTCTCACCTGTTCTTTTGTCAGCAAGGAAATTGCACCCTGGAGCTTCTGCATCCAATGTCTTGGGATTTTCATTAACGTATCATGTATGGGTATGGTGTCCAATCGTTTCTTAAGCCTTCATTAAAGACTTACCTAGTTATTCCATGCCGAGGTGTTGGAGATGGTTAGTAGTTAAAAAAAGGTTAGCGATGGTGGTTGTCAGCTTTGGAAGCCATATTTTACTTGGGAGCTTCCATGTTGCCATATTTTACTCCCTGGGAATTTGGGAGGGGGGATTTCATAGGGAGGTGAAAATGTAGATATAACAACATTCTTCTTCAGAGTCAAGGACAAGTTATCCTGCACCTACTAAGGCGTGGTTGGAGGAATGTCTCCAGTGGTGGGATTCAATTTTTTTTTTACCACCGGTTCTGTGTGCGTGGCTTGGTGGGCATGGCAGGGGAAGGATACTGTAAAATCCCCCTTCCCTCCTCACCCCACTAACCTGCTTTCCAGCTCTGTTCTCCTGTGCAGGGCAACCAAAGAAGACCCAGCCGATCAGCTGGGACTCAATGGGAGGCAGAGAGTAGATGGGGGCAGGGCCAGTTAGAGGCGGTATTGGCTGCTTCTCCGAACGACTCAAAATTTCTGCCACCGATTCTGTAGAACCGGTCAGAACTGGCTGAATACCACCTCTGAATGTCTCCAGTTGGGACAAGCAGCGATTGGGGCACATGATGGGTGCGGCGAATGGGGTTTTGATTTTCAATTACGAAGGGGAAACCTGGAACTCTCATATTAGGTTTTTTCCCAGACGTGCCAATATGACAACTTTAATAAAATGGAACTTTGCGAAAATGTTTTGTCTTGGAGATGGTTGTTGTTGGAGTTTGTTACTTGGAACGCTTATATTAACTTGAATCATATCGGAGATATTTTATGGATTGAGGGCATTTTGATGCCCCAGTCTTGCATACAGATTTCAAGTTATCGTGATGATGGTTGGTAGAGAGTCCGAAGATGTATTTTATGTTTGAGTTACTGCCAAGATCTATAGGGGTGAGGACCTTAAATCAACCAGCGGTTTCAGCTGTCAACCCACACACAGCAAAGAGGACGGAGAATCCTCCTTACCACCAATGTATCAAATGGAAAAATAAAATCTGATGTTGGAGAACATTGATGACCCTCCAGAGGGTCTGATGACCCTCCAGAGCTTCCAAGAAAGGATCAACCTATTTGGGGGAATGCTCCAAAGTGAATGTCCACAAATCTGGTGGTTTCGAAGTCCAGGACCTGCAAGCAGACCTTGTGGTGCCTGCTTTTTCTTCCTTGGTTCCTCTCTTACTTACATTTTGTGAGAAGGAACTTGCTAAAAAGAGATATGCCAAGTAGGTTGTTAGAACAGTTGGGGGCTGGGTGAATCGGGATCTAATTATCCCTCACTTAACCATGGATGTGTCAATTGACCATCATTGCCCCCTAACGACCAGAGTTGAGAACGACCGGCTGATTTAAGGGTAATGCGAATCTTGCCAGTTTTAAGCAGAGAAGATGCCCTTTCCCAGGTTAAATTTAGCATCAGTGCTATTTTGGAGAGGCAGGCTGAGGATGTGGCACTTTTGAATCTTCTACCCCTTTTCTTGGTGCATCTGCCTCAAATTAAGGATGTAGCCTGGAGTTACAAGGTGTTCACAAGGAGGTAGGTGTTGGTGACGCGGCCAAGTCTTCATCCTTTTTTTTGGGGGGGGCGGATTCTTGGAGATCTGGGTTCAAACAAAGGGCAAAGAACTTCATTTTAAGCAGCTGGAGGACTTCTGGGTTCTGTACGTTGATGGAATATTTTGGTGGCTTTTTTGTTTTTTCCAGGGAGAAAGAGGTTTGTCTGGAGAGATTGGTCCATTGGGGAAAAGAGGTTCTCAAGGTGGAATGGGACTCCCTGGGACCTCCGGTGATCCAGGGCCCAAAGGACAGCCGGTGAGTAGATGTGTGCCACAGCTGCTGGCGTTTGTTGGTTGAGATATCTCTCGGGCCAAGAAAAACGAATTCTTCTCCACTGGGATAGTCGGGGCAGGTATAGAGAACAGATCTGCCAAACATCTGAGCATTTTTCTGCATTCAATTTCCTGAAGTGACACTGGTTCCTCCTTCTTCGTTCCGGAGGACCAGCCTCTGCCAAATATGCTTAGATTAAGACATCGAGTACAGCAAAAAAAAAAACCTACCGTCCTCCAGAAGCTGGAAGAGACGAGTGGACCTATTTCCAAGCCAAACTGTGATAAGCGGCGAAGAGGATGACTTTGTTTTGAGAGCTAAAAATCCATCTGGGTTTCGGCGGGGAGGGTTTCTTTGCCAATTTCACAAAAGGGATGAAATTCAGACTGTTCATGTGTGTTGTTTTGCTTCATCTCTCGTTGTTTCTCCTTCTGCTCCTTGACAAAAAAAAAATCTTTCTAGGGAGACTTTGGGGAATCTGGATTTCCAGGGATTGCTGGATTCTTCGGCCCAAAGGTGAGCCCCCGTCTTCCTTGATAATGTCGCGCCAAGTTCTTTGATTCAGAGACAGGCGGTATTTTACGCCAGGTGTCTCAAGGTGGACTGTGAGTGGTGAGCCTGCTCACAAAACGGGAGCTGCAGATGGTTGATCTCTGCCCACGTTGGGTGGGACCACCCGTGAATGACCTCCTGTCACCTCGAGATGGGCTTAGTTTGTTTGCTGCCACCTACTCTGGGTACAGCTTCAGTGGTGGCATTCAAAATTTTTTTTACTACCGGTTCTGTGGGCCTGGCTTGGTGAGGCTTGGTGGGCATAGCAGAGGAAGGATATACCGCAAAATCCCCATTCCCTCCCCACTCCACTAACCTGCTTTCCAGCTCCGTTCTCTTCTGCAGGGCAACCAAAGGAGACCCAGCTGATCAGCTGGGACTTGAGAGGCAGAGAAGAGATGGGGACAGGGCCAGTTGGTGGTGGTATTGGCCGATTCTAAAAACTACTCAAAATTTCCACTACCTGGTCTCCAGAACTGGTCAGAACCGGCTGAATACCACCTCTGTACAGCTTCCATTTCTGTTTGGAGACAAGGCCCGATTCAGAAGGAAGGGAAAGAGCGAGAGAGAAATAACAGCAGAATTGTTTGCAACTTGGATGTAGGGTGTCATCCTATTTCGGGATAATATTATTTGAAATCATCATCTTCATTTAATAATCCCTTGTGCGGGGTGGAGTCTGGGAAACTGAATGGAGCCTAGCCGAGCGTTTTAATGGCCGGATGCCCTTCCTTGTTGCCGATGTAGAGTTTTATTCTCATTGCGCCCAGAGAGAGAAATATCTCCCTCTACCTGGGATCGAACTCACAGCCTCCTGATTGTGAGGCAAGAGCTCCCCCTCTAGGCCACCGCACCGCTCCTTTTTTTAATGTTATTTGAAATGGTTTTACTTTTCAAAATAGGAAAGGCGATGATGCCCAAGTGGTGGATGGTGTTCGCAGCTGGTTTTTTTCTTCACCCAACGTTTCTTTCTTTCTCTCCATAGGGACCACCTGGAGATCTTGGCTTCAAAGGCATCCGGGGCCCTAAAGGGCCCCAAGGACTCTGGGTAAGTCGAGGACCTTGCCTTCACCCCCTTTGCCTTCACCTTCAGAAGAAACCAGAAGCTGCTTTCCTCTCGGTTAAAATATGGTGAGCTAAATTCAGCCCCCACTTCCGTGTCTTCTCCGCAAAACCGGGCAGCCAAAGGACCAGGTTTTCGACCCGTTTGGTGGTCATGAGGATGGAGGCAGCGTTCTTCTCAGAGGCCAAAACATTTAGCCATATCCTACCAGGTTGTCCTACCACGTCACCCCTCAACCAGTCAGTTTTACCTGCTGGGATCAAGCCTAAAGAATCAGCAGTAGAGTAGGTAAATCTGCTGAGGAAGTAACAGGGGTCCAAGAGACGGGTTTGTTAGAAGTTAGGTGGTCTTCTCTCCTTCATGAGTTTACAGACAGTGTGTCGGTTGGTTTACCACTTTTTTTTGTGCATCCATTTCATAGTCTCCATTGTAGTTATATTACATAACAGCTCATATTATCAATCAACAATTATATAGCCTGATATCATTATTAAACAATCATTTGACTATAATTTTATTAGTTCATACTTTAACGAGATAACTATAGTTTACTTAATTTATTTTATAGCAAATCATAAAGTCATACCAAGCCTATCTTAATAGAAAGGATGATGTTTTTACGTTTTATGTGTTTTTGTTTGTTGTTAAAATTAATAAAACTGTTTTCAAAAAAAAAGAAGTTAGGTGGTCTTCTCCAACACCTGATAAATATTCCCTCTATCAGTGGTGGTGTTCAAAAAGGTTTGCTACCTGTTCTGTGGGTGTGGCGTGGCGGGCGTGGCTTGGTGGGCACCTCACCCCACTAACCTACTTTCCAGCTCCGTTCTCCTGTGCAGGGCCACAAAAGAAGACCCAACTGATCAGCTTTGACTCTGATCAGCTGGGACTCGGGAGGCAGCGAATAGATGGGAGCAGGGCCAACCAGAGGTGGGATTTGCCAGTTCTCCAAACTACTCCAAATTTCCATTACTGGTTCTTCAGAACCTGTCAGAACTGGCTGAATACCACCTCGGACCTCTACCCAGAAAAGGTGAACAAGCAGCTCCTATTCTCGGGGCTGGTAGCCCTTGCTGGGTCACCGGAAAGTCCAAATTCCTTAGATGAGCTGCTGGGCATTGGGCAGTTTTTTGATACCCACCTGATGCTATTGGTCAGAAAGCAAGGTGGTGTCCCAACCTCACCTGGACTCAAAAGCTAAAGGAGGATTGGAGTTGGCTAGTAGCTGGATAGACATTACTAGGAAAATGGAAAGAGAAGTAGAAGTCCTTGTGGTGATATATATCCTATCCATTGTCTAAACAAATATTTTGTTTTCGTAGGGTCAAGAAGGTGTCATTGGTCCAGTTGGGATTCCGGGTCCACCAGGAAATTCTGTAAGTATCTCACTTGCTCTTCCATCCCTCTTCTTAAGATCAGCAAATGTTCTCTCAAGGTGCTGTGGGATTTTCTATCATTACTTCATGTCCTCTTCCTAATGTGGTCATGTAAAAACTCAAAATCCACAGTTCCTTCGCTTAGTTTGAGACCGTGACAGCTCTGCCCCTTGAGAGTGGACTCTCTTCAAAGCTGGTGCATGTCCTTCAAGCCCTACCATGATCCAGAAGGCCCACAACTCTGGTTCTTATTTATTTAATTTCATGGATTATTGCAATGTTTCCTAGGTTGTGTTGCCTTTGGATCTTCAGTTGTGCATGTCCTGATGCAGTGTCCCAAGACATTCCCGGGAAAATTGGGATGACACGCAGCTTGAGGGTCCTCATTCCAGAACTGAGGTCTGAAGGTTGATCCTTTTAGACCATGAAACTAAAGCTCAGTTTGTCACTTTGCCTGCACGTGGAAAAGAAATATTTAAAGTAGGGATGGTCACCTGATACAGGCAGATGTTTTGGGCAACGGCCTCTTGATGTTGAGCCAAGCTGTAGGAGGTGATGTGAGCTGAAGGCCAAACTTCTGGAACGCCATCTTCCCTCCTTCTCAGTCAACAGACTTGTCCTACTTGGCTTTCTTCTCATGGTCGTCTTTTTCACACACCGTGTTTTCCAGACAATTTTAACCCTTTAGTCTATCAACTTGAAATTCAATATTTATAGAAATATTTATAATATTTACATACAAGCCCTGCCCAGCCAGTCACATGACCGCCAAGCCACACCCACAAATTAGGCCACACCCACAGAACCAGTCAGTGGTCCCTGGGATCTAAAATTATGAGTTTGGTGGTCCCTGAGGTCCAAACGTTTGGCGACCCCTGCTCCATAGCGTCATTTTGAGGGAAGGAGTTGAAACAGTTTATGTCCAGGGTGTGAGGGGTCTGTAAATATTTTCACAGCCCTCTTTTTGACTTGTGCAGTTTACACAGGTCCTCCATGGAAGGAAAGTTGGTAGCAATTGTTTTTTTTCTGCATTCTTAATTCTCCTCTGGAGTCTGTGTCTGTCCTGTTGGGTTGCAGAACCAAACCAGACAGTTATAGAGGTGCAGATGACAGACTCAATAATTCCTCTGTAGAATTGGATCAGCAGCTCCTTGGGCAGTTTGAGCAGGAGACCCTCTACCATCTCAGACAAGTGACTGTCCAGTCTCTTCTTGAAAACCTCCAGTGATGAAGCACACACAACTTCTGGTGGCAAGTCGTTCCACCGGTTAATTGTCCTCACTGTTAGGAAGTGTCTCCTTAATCCCAAGTTACTTCTCTCCTTGATTAAATTCCGTCCATTGTTTCTTCTCCTGCCTTCTGGTGCTTTGGAAAATACGTTGGGTCCCCCCGTCTTCTTCATGGTGGCCCCTCAAATATTGGAATCCTGTTACCGTGTCCCCCCCGCCCCCCCTAGTCCTTCTTTTCATTAAACTAGACATACCCAATTCCTGCAATTGGCGTCGGAAGAATACAGAAAAGAAAAAAGTGTGCAGAGAAGAGCAACCAAGATATTAAAGGGTCTGGACTGGAGGCTAAATTGTATTAGGAACAGTCGAAGGAGCTGGGTGTGTCTAGCAGAATAACAGAACATTAGAATTGGACGGGACCTTGGAGGTCTTCTAGTCCAACCCCCTGCTCAAGCAGGAGACCCTGTCCCATTTCAGACAAAAGGGTTCCCCCAATGTCTCCCTAAAAACCTCCAGTGAAGGCAAGCCATCCTCTCTCTTTCTCACACACAGGGCTGATTCACACAGGCTTCACTGACTTTGGAGCTTTTCATTATATTGGAATGTTGCAGGTGTCTTACACGTTTAACAGGTGTGCCTTTTGTCACCTCCCCCCCTCCCCCCAGGGTCCTAAAGGAGAGAAAGGCAGCCAAGGTGAAGCGGTGAGTGTTGTCCCTTCTGTGCCATGGGTGTAAAATTACGTTCAGACCCTTCGGTCTCACCTCTTCTGGGAAAGGACCTGTTTTCACCCCCTTCTTCATTTCCTTTTTCAGGGTCTCCAAGGTCCAAGGGTAAGTATGGCTGTGTTGTGTCCCATCAACACTGCTCCTTCCACCCCAAGACTTGAAAACTCTTCACCTGGTTTTGGGTTTTTAAAAAAAAAAAAATTTTTTTTATTAAATATATTTCATCATTTTATATCACTTTTACAATCTTTGCAGTGCTCCAGCTGTGGTGATTTTCATACATAGACACACAGACACAGACACAGACACAGACAGACAGACAGACACACACACACACATATATATGTATATGTATATGTATATATATCAACGTTCTGACCAAAGCTTCCAGAGACTGTAATTAAGCACACACTTAGTCCAAACAATCCCTCGAGATAAGCACCCACCTTTCTCTCCCTTGAATGGCTGCCAACAACTAAAGTGCCAAATGAACTATAAAAAACCAACCGGACTACAAAGTCCACACAGAGCTTCAAGGTTGAATCCAAACAGAGCGAATGACTTTGCTTCCTGCAAAGGTTTCTCTACCTTTGCATGTCCTTTATACTTGATGGAAGGGACAATCACCTCCAAGCCTTACTCCTGAGTTGCCTTTTTTTTTGTCTTAGCTGCTCTTGCCTTCTGGCAGCTCTGTGTTTACGCGCCCTGGGAACAGGCTCCCCTTGTTCCTCGGCCTCACTGCTGCCAGACTCTGGAGGCTCCGGAGTCAGCACCCCACTCCAAGATGCTCCTGGCCCCATCTCTATATCGGATGCAGGACCCTTGCCCGAGTCCTCTCCAGACTCCCGGACTGGTCCCCGTTCTTCCCCACTGTCCAATTCTGCTGCCGTCTGCACAAGCTGCCAGTGAACCACAACCATCAATTACATTCCTTTTTCTTCCTTTAACTATATACATTGCCACTAAGCTTAATATACCTCTTAAATTACCTTTATATTTGATCTTTATTTCTATTTTCTAACCATTTTTATACCATGTGTCCCAGACCAAATAATATTCCGTTTCCCCTCTTTCTTTTAATTCTAATGTTAGCCTGTCCATCTCCACCCAATCTAACACCTTCCCTCACCCATTCTTTTGAAATGTTTAATGTATGAAAAGAAAGAAAAAAAAATTCCGTCCAATGTTGGCACTAAAACCAAACATACACAGAATGGCTTCGATTCAATGGTGGAAATCAGAGGGTTCTGATTTGGCCTTTGTGCAGTGCAAATTAAGAATGGTCATGTCCGGGTTAAAAATGTGGAATTTGCTTAAAAGAATAGAATGCAACATTTTAGTCCAGGCAAGAGAATCCCAGGTGCAAGTGCCGAGATGAAAAGAGCCCTTGGAAGCCAGTGAAGAAAAAGTATTTCTTTCCAAAGGCAACTGGACTTCCTTGGTTTTTCTTTGAAGAGGTTTTGCTTCTCATCCAAGAAGCTTCTTCAACTCTGATGAACAGCTCAATGTCTATGGAAATTCTCAGTCATCCAGGTCATGGTTGTCTCAAAGGGGCTTTCTTTCAAAAGGCAACTGGACTACAGGATTCAGGTGACCCTGAACGAACGCACAGGTGAACCTCCAAGTGGCCTCAATGATGCTCAGAAAGACTGACAATGACCAGATGACTGCAAGGAATATATAAATCCTTCTGTTCCCTACCATTCAGTCAGAAATGATGAAGCTTCTCAGAGGAGAAGCGAAATGTCGTCAAGCAAAAGAAGAAAGTCCAGTTGCCTTTTGAAAGAAAGCAACTTTGGGACAGAGAAGAAAGTGTGTGTGCGTGTGTGTGTGTGTTTGTGTGTAAAGGAGGAAGAGACCTTTGGAAGAGAGGTTCCCCCTCCCCCCATACACGGTGGTGTTTTGCATCTCCAGTTCAGGTTGTGAAGGATCAATTGTGGTTTATCTTGACTCTTGTCTTCCTAGGGTATCGCAGGGCCCCGAGGACCTCCAGGCCCCCCGGTATGTATTTAAAATATGATGTGGGTTTTTGTTGTGTTTGTCTTCAAAAGCACACAATGATGGCCCAACCTTTTCTGCTACTGGTGTCAGGATTCTGGCAGTCACCCCAATTAAGTCTCGGGCCAAATTTCCAAAACTTCAAAAGGATTTATTGGGAGTTAACATACCCGGCACTGCCTGAGTGGAGCCGACTCCGAGACACATAATTCATTGTCACCCTTGACCCTGGTTTCCCTCCGCACCCCCTGTGGAACCTGAATGCAAGAGATAGCAAAAGCAATAGCCCTTAGACTTATATACCGCTTCACAGTGCTTTACAGCCCTCTCTAAGCGGTTTACAGAGTCAGCCTCTTGCCCCCAATAATCTAGGTCCCCCTTTTACCCGCCTCGGAAGGACGGAAGGCTGAGTCGACCTTGAGCCTGGTGAGGTTCGAACTGCCAAATTACAGGCAACCGGCAGTCAGCAGAAGTAGCCCGCAGTACTGCACTCTAACCACTGCACTACCAAGGCTCATGTTCTTTCTTTCCAGTCTAAAGCAAGGGCCTTCAAACTTGGTAAGTTTAAGACTGGTGGACTTCAGCTCCCAGAATTCCTGAGCTAACATGACTGGAGGAGGAATTCTGGGAGTTGACGTCCACCAGCCTTAAAGGTGTCAAGTTTGAAGACTCCTGATCTAAAGCATCAGACAGACAGATTTCTCCCTTGACCTCTGCCTGTTCCTCCTAGTCTTCCACGTCCATCAACAGCCAAGAATTTTATCTTGATTTAACTTGCTTAAGGCTTCATGTTTTGTCTCTTTATCTTCATAGGGCCCACCAGGAATTGAAGCTGCATTTGTAAGTTTTCTGAATCCTCATTGGCCTTAGAACTCTGCAAGTTTGGGATGTTTGTTGCAACCCCGCCCCCCACAAATGAAACCATGAAACCTTTGGGTTACAAGATAATAGATAACAGATAATCAGAATTGGAAGGGACCTTATAGGTCATCTAGTCCAATCCGCCGCCCAAGCAGGAGACCCTACACCATTTCTGACAAATGGTAGTCTGGTTTCTTCTTGGAAGCCTCCATGGATGAAGCTCCTACAACTTCCGAAGGCAACTTCTGTTCCATCAGTTGATTGTTCTCACTAAGTTTCTCCTTATTTCCAGGATGAATCTCTCCTTGTTCAGTTTCCATCCATTATTCTTTGTCTGGCCTACAGCTGCTTTAGCAAACAGCTAACCCCTTCCCCTCTGTGGCAGCCCCTCAACTATTGGAAGGCTGCTATCAAGTCCCCCTTGGTCCTTCTCTTCCCTAGACTAGCCAAGCCCAGTTCCTGTAACCGTTCTTCATATACCTTAGTCCGTGAGACTGTGTGGTTCTTATTTCACTTAAAACATCCATCCTGGAGATTCCATGATTGATCTTGTCAGTGCCCGTATTCTATCTGCATGGACTTTTTCCTTCTAGTCTACCATAACTGTGTCTTTTCTCCTCTAATCCAGGGGCAAGATGACTTCGATGCAGCTTTCCACTCCATGTTGACTGCCAGCGCTGCCTTCAGGTCTGAGGTAACCCATAAAAGCTTCTTAAAGGAAAATTATCTGAAGTACTTATGGGAAAAAGAATTGGCCGCTGTAAGGAATTCATCCGCGTCTTCTCTCTTTCCTGGCAGAGCTACGAACAGATGGATCCTCCGGCGATGGATCAAGAAGGGGAGATCTTCAAGACCCTGCACTACCTCAGTGTCCTCATCCAGAGCATCAAGAGACCCATGGGGACCAAGGAAAACCCCACCCGTATTTGTAAAGACCTCATGAACTGTGAACAAAAGATGCAGGATGGTAAGACTTCATCTGCTCCAGGATGGTCAACATGTAAATAAATGTTCTCCAAGATCTACATCACTCATGATGCCTTAAAGAGGAGGAGGAGGAGGAGGAGGAGGAGGAGGAGGAAGATGGATTTCATGGGGTATCTAGATTTGCATCTATTTGGGCCAAAGCTGAACAAAACCCTAACGTCTAGATTTCATTCCTTCGTGAACTTTCTGCCCAACTCTTGGCAACACATGGAAGAATCTCAATGTAACTCCCGATAAACTGGACAAAAAAGAGAACCAAACAGTAGAGAAAAGAACAACAAAAGAGTTGTGTAAGATGGCCATTTGTCCCTTCTTTAAAAGGTGTCAGTGTAATCAAAGGCCCCTCTCAAGAAAAGATTGACTAGGCTAAAAGCCAGGAACAGCAGGACCATCAAATCTCCCGGATCAACCTATTCCACAGTGTTCTAGTCTGCCACCTCCCTCTTTACATGGGATGAGTCATCTTCTCTAGATGATCTGACAGGATGGGCAAAATCATTCTGGAGTTGAGATTCTAGATTGCTGGACCTTCTCTGTACAGAATAACAGAGTTGAAAGGGACCTTATACTCCAATGTCTTGTTCAAACAGGAGATCCTATGATAAGGGCCTTCAAACTTGTCAAGTTTAAGACTCGTGGACTTCAATTCCCAGAATTCCTGAGCTAACAAGACTGGAGGAGGAACTATGGGAATTGAAGTCCACAAGTCTTAAAGCTGTCCAGTTTGAAGACCCCCCTGCCTTATACCATGCCAGACAAGTGGTAGTCCAGTATCTTCTTAAAAGCCTCCAATGATGAAGCACCCAACAATGATTATGACCCACTGCAAAAGATTAAAGGACGCTGATAATAGTTGGAGGACAAGAGGTCTAATCTTGGGTGTCTGGTAGCTTCCATACTGTTCTTCTCCAGAACTTTGACAAAGTTCTCACGGCTTCTTCTTCCTGTTATGGTCCTGTTATGACCATCTGTAATACAATAGGTCATTAACCAGTTCCTTTCGGGTCAGGATAACCTAGTATCTCCTACACACGTCCTTATGCCAAAAAATACAGGCCCGTGTTGTAGCCAGAAGCCTGATATTTCCTTTAGAAAGTAACAAGTTACAAAACAGTACGTGTTTATTAGATATAGTTATATAACTGTCCAATAATCATTTCTCTGTTCAAGTGTTGGATAAGTATAGATTCCCTTCTGTTCTTCATTATCACAGGTGTAACTTATAATATGTAATTTCTGCATATCTCAAAGATGCCATTATAACCGCATCCGGCCTCGCGTGTTATTCCTCTCTTCTTCTTCTTCCTTCAGGTGTGTACTGGATGGACCCAAATCTTGGCTGTTCTTCAGACAGCATTCAGGTCACCTGCAACTTTGCCCAAGGAGGTCAAACCTGCCTCAACCCTATCACAACATCAAAGGTACATTAAAGGCACATGCCATTTCTAGCAAAAACCACCGGAATATGACATTTCACATGCAGCCCATGGAACAACTCTAAAAACAAGGACATTTTTTAATTTCCTGAAAATGCCTCGTGGTTCTACGTGGGGCACAGAGAAGTTCTTGGAAAGGCAGATAATGCATCTAGGGCTTGGCTGCACCGTTTTCCATTTTTTTTTTCAATCCCAATAAAATCTTTTGCAAAAAAATTAAAAAATTAAAAACAGGCGGATAGGGAGCCGGGCACGTTCTTCAGTGCCCACATGGCTGACACGTTGCTTATCCTTGTTGTTAAGTACCACGTTCCAATTGTTTAAGCTTTTAAAAATAAGAAGCTCTGTCTTAAGCCGAACCTGGAAAGGAATAAGTAGCTAGTGACATTAAAAAAAAGTGGTATTTTGGCTCAGTTGAAAAATGAGGCGTTCTTTTCACGGGTAACCTCAGGCAACATCTAGCCTGAAGCAAAACAATTTGTGAATAAGCAGAGCAATTTTTTATTCTCTCTCTCTCTCTCTCTCTCTCTCTCTCTTTCCCTTTCTGTCTCTCTCTCTCTTTCTCTTTGTCTCTCTCTTTCTGTCTCTTTCTTTCTCTCTCTCTTTCTGTCTGTCTCTTTCTCTCTTTCTTTCTCTCTCTCTCTTCCTGTTTAAATAGAATTGGGGTTGAGAATTTGAAATTCTACTGGCCTATGTTATTGTCCAGAATTTCAGCCATGTCATCACTCGTTCGAAGCAGTAAGTAATGCCTCTGTTTCTGTGAATGGGTCTTGTCGTTAAAGCAGCCAGATTCATTCATAAAAATAGAGACATTACCAAGGTTGGCTGCAGGAAGTTACTTTGCCCATGGGAAGGATGACTCTTAGCGCAAATCCAGGCTTATCTGTCCATAGCAATAGCAATAGACCAGTGGTGGGATTCAAAATATTTTACTACCAGTTCTGTGGGCGTGGCTTGGTGGGCGTGGCAGGGGAAGGATAGGGAACCTTCTCCTGGGGGAAGGATACTGCAAAATCCCCCTTCACCCCACTAACCTGCTTTGCAGCTCTGTTCTGTTGTGCAAGACAACCAAAGGAGACCCAGCTGATCAGTTGGGACTCAGTGGGAGGCAGAGAAGAGATGGGGTTAGTGGGGCCAGTCAGAGGTGGAATTGACCGGTTCTCCAAACGACTCAAAATTTCCACTACTGGTTCTCCAGAACTGGCCAGAACCTGCTGAATACCACCTCTGCAATATACTTATATACCACTTCACAGAGCTTTCCAGCCCTCTCTGCATGGTTTACGGAGCCAGCCTCTTGCCCCCAATAATCTGGGTCCTCATTTTACCCACCTTGGAAGGATGGAAGGCTGAGTCAAACTTGAGCCTATGGTGAGATTCAAAATAACAAATTGTAGACAGCCGGCAGTCAGCAGAAGTAGCCTGCCGTGCTGCGCTCTAAGCACTGCACCACCATGGCTCATAAGTACAAATCAATGTTTATCTGACCACTGGATAGTCCAAAAATATTAGATTTTTTTCCCTCTTTTGTAGTTTTATACATTTCCGGTGCATGGCTGCTTGGGTGTAGTTGAAGGTCTGTAGAATGGTGATAAGTTGGTTTAGGCATGAAGGTCTCAAGATGTTTCTCCTAACCAGAACGTTGAGTCCAACCTTTATCCCAAACTTTTGTACGTCCCCTTGTCTAGCTGGACTTCGATATTGGAAGAGTACAAATGAATTTCCTTCACCTCTTGAGCTCTGAAGTCGTTCAGAACATCACTATCCATTGCTTGAACATGTCGGTTTGGCCGGAAGGACCGTCTGAAGGGGCCTCTGTAAGCTTCAAGGCCTGGAACGGGCAGCTCTTCGAACGGGGAGGGCAGCTCACGCCGGATGTTGTGGTGAACCATTGTAAGGTATGGCAATCCTCCGGGAAAAAAAAAAAGAGTTGGAAGGGTTAGGTGCTACCCCCGCATGGAGAAGATGCTGCGATTTCATCATCAAGAAATATCTAGAAATATCTACCCTTGAAAGGTCTCCTAACCCAAACTGCGGCCATGTTGAAGGTGTTTTCGTCTTTGAGTTGTTTTATTATCCAGACTAGAGGTAGCCTGCTCAGGTTCAAATCCTGATGAAACCAAGTCACCCTGACTCCATGCAAAAAAAAAAAAAAAAATTGTGAGCGCTGAAAAAAAGGTAAAACATCTACAAGGCTTGTCCCAAATGTGCTTTCTTTTTTTTTTTTCAAGAGGCAACTCTACTTTCTTGTTTTTCTTTGAAAACGTCCAAGAAGCCTCTTCAGCTCGGACTGGATGGTGGGGAATGGAAGGGTGATCTTTTCCTCCTCCTCCTCCTCCTCCTCCTCCTCCTCCTCCTCCTCCTCCTCCTTTTCTTCCTCCTCCTCCTTTTCCTCCTCCTCCTCCTCCTCTTTTCCTCCTCCTCCTCCATCTTCATCTCCTCCTCCTCCTCTTTTCCCAAAGGTGCTTTTTCAAAAGGCAGCTGGACTTTCTTGTTTGTCTTTTCTTTGAAGACGTTGCGCTTCTCATCCAAGAAGCTTCTTCAGCTCTGACTGGATGGTGGAGAATGGAAGGATGATCATCTTCTTCTTCTTCTTCTTCTTCTTCTTCTTCTTCTTCTTCTTCTTC